TTGAATTTCCGGTATTATCGATCATCTTCGCAGAGTGATGAAAGAAAATGGTAATGGGCGTATACTTATCAGCATGGTTTGGTCAAACCGTCGTCTGACCAGGTGTTTTCATCTTACGATATTGTGATTATTGCTAGAGTAATACCAAATCCCAATTCAAGTCGACCCATTTTCAGTCCGACTGTTCATGGTTAGGTTAGTGTCACCACGTCTCGTTCGTACTCTAAATTTTGCTGCATTGTAATTAGTGACAAATGAATTTACCTATGTTGTTTTGTAACTTCAAATCACATACTTTATTTATTTTTGATCGTTAACTTTGTACTTCTTCTTATCACATTCTTAATTCCTTGATTCCTTAATCAGACCCCAAATTAATTTGGAATTTGGCACATCCAATTATTTCTGATACTCGACTTGTAAACCTAATTTACGATTTTGAATCAGTAATAGATGTAATGAAATTCATTACTTAGTTAGGGAATAATGTAAAATGTCTGGGAAAAAATTTGCAACAAGCTGATTTTTACAGGAATGTGTTGTCCATAGTGTCAGGAACCACCCCAAAGAGTTTCCAATCTGGATCTGTTGAGCAAAAAAAGTTACAGCCAATTTTCTTCAGGCGCGTATGTCAGCCTGAGGACCGCACTTGAAAAACTCGTAACTATCGTAATAAAGACCCCCAGGAGCACCATAGGGGGTGAAAAATGACCGCAATAGTGACATTATGTGGGGCGAATCAGTGTTTCAGGGTCGCCAGATCTTTACTTATTGAGATAATTTCATTTTTATAGGCTAACCTCTCAAAAATTTACTAAAACTTTGAAATTTTACTTAAATTTGGAAATTTAGCAAAATTGTTGTACAATTAAAACATTGTCTAGTTATCAGTATTCAACTTCTAAAATTTACTTTCAATTGTCAATTGATCCTTATATTAGTATAGTAAATAATATACATATCACATCAAATTCTGTAAAAAAAGGTCCTGAATTATTAGCATGGTGTCTTTGATTGGCAACTATTAGGTCACTTCTGGCTATCCCATTTCCTCAGAGTTGTTTGATTCTCCTGAATCGTCCTGTCTTTCGGGTGCATTAGTGCAACTTAATCCATGACATTGGCCACATGCAGGTAGACATTTAAAGCCATACTTCCGTCAGGAACACCTTAAGTACTTACAAGGGTTCTCAACCTCCACCGAGCAATTGCAGCAAATGAGGTTGAGCATCCCTGCCGGGGCAATCGCAGCTTTAGTCGGGATTGGCCGGTAGTATCCTTCAGAACTCATCCCCCATCCATAATGTAGTGGATTTAGACTTGCAGTGTCGAGTGTCACCCAGTTATGGTACTGAAGATATGATCTTAATATATGCTCAGTTGCATAGGATGTAGACGGTGGTAGCCTTGATGGGTTGAGTTTTTTCTTTGCTATCATTCTACTGTAGCTGAGAAATCTGAGAGTTTCAAGTGCCTTGGTTTTATTTCCATAGATATGTTGAAACAAGGAGTTAGGAGAGGCCAGCTTCAATTACTTCATTTGTTGAAACTCTCACAGTGAGTAATTATGCTAAATGACCCTCCTCATGAAAAGAAACTGCCTTTTTCAATATCTTACCAAAGCCATGTATACTGCTGACTGTGTCACATCCTGAGAAACTGTGAACAAACAGTAATATGCGTTTTATGTTGGCATCAAGAGCATTTACTATTTTACTGATCGAGTGTGAGCCGTTTCTGGTCGTCATCACAATTTCATTGTCATTCTCAGTAAAATGATGAATAAGGAGGCAAAGTATATCAGTATCCTCTGCTTTTACCTCAACATCTTCGTAGAAGGACAAGTTTAAAGCTTTACTAGCTACCATGGTATCAGCATCATCAGTAGCTACATGTACTTCAATTCCATGTTCTGTAAAAACGTTCGACAGAAGCTTTATAAGCTCATGGTTGTTCTTTGAGTTGCTGAACAGTTTTTTCATCGGAACTGTGCACACAGTAGTACTTTTAATAGCTACATCAGAGCAGTATGCCTTGATTCTTCGCTGATGCTCATGATCTTTTGTTGATCGGGCATAGCCATCAAACACAACAATCACTTTCCGCTGTTCGGATTTCGGAACTAGCTTAAGGTATTCATTAGCTATGTCGCCGTATGTTTCAAAGCCTGTGAACGAGGTAACTTGATAGAGTAGCCATCCACCATCAATTATTAATGGAGAGGATGGGTTGCTAAATGTCACAGTACAATCAACAACATTCTTGAGGTATTGCCCAAGGGCTGCCTTGTTTGCCTTTCTCATCATCTGCTCATTGTTAAAAAGACTCATCGGCATTGCTGTGAGCTCATATTGGAAGCTTTCCTCCAGTGTAGACTCTCGTTCTGATGCGAAGCAGGTCGAGGTCAGTACTCCAAAGCTCTACGGCTGTATCTTGAGCAGATTACCGTACTTGAGATTCAGTATGGGGCACTAGTCAAAACGTTCAAGGTCGTAGGTCTGCACACAGTTCGATATAATGAACACGAGTGGTCTGGTGTGTGGACAGACCTGTCGATCGAACAGCGACTAACGAAGGCTGCAAATTCATCAGGGGGTTTGTCTGGAGGGAGAATGCGAACTCATGAATCTGCCCATAAGTTATGGACTGCAACCCTCAACCAAATGGCGTTGATAAACGAGAGTGTCGATGACACAACAACAAAAGCCTCTAGTGCTAATCACTCAGATCTTAGCAAATCTTCTGTACAGAAAAATATTGCAGTGTTTACCAAGCTGTTGTGTTGGTTTAAAGATACAGCTGATTTCGACGAATCTGAAGACAAGACTAAACTGCTATCGTACTCAACGGGTCTCATATCACAGAAAGAGAAGGATAATGTCAACCCAGAAGATTGCATTTCAGTTGGTACTGCCCTCCAGAAAGAGCTGGATGGCAAAAGCTTTATCGATAAGTTTCGAGTAGGAAACTTGACCCTTCTAAAGAGGACAGTGAGGGTGAACGAAAAAGACATTGTTATAGACTCATTGACAATTTTTAATCGGCTTGTCTTCGCATCTGAACGAGAGTCTACACTGGAGGAAAGCTTCCAATATGAGCTCACAGCAATGCCGATGAGTCTTTTTAACAATGAGCAGATGATGAGAAAGGCAAACAAGGCAGCCCTTGGACAATACCTCAAGAATGTTGTTGATTGTACTGTGACATTTAGCAACCCATCCTCTCCATTAATAATTGATGGTGGATGGCTACTCGTATCAAGTTACCTCGTTCACAGGCTTTGAAACATACGGCGACATAGCTAATGAATACCTTAAGCTAGTTCCGAAATCCGAACAGCGGAAAGTGATTGTTGTGTTTGATGGCTATGCCCGATCAACAAAAGATCATGAGCATCAGCGAAGAATCAAGGCATACTGCTCTGATATAGCTATTAAAAGTACTACTGTGTGCACAGTTCCGATGAAAAAACTGTTCAGCAACTCAAAGAACAACCATGAGCTTATAAAGCTTCTGTCGAACGTTTTTACAGAACATGGAATTGAAGTACATGTAGCTACTGATGATGCTGATACCATGGTAGCTAGTAAAGCTTTAAACTTGTCCTTCTACGAAGATGTTGAGGTAAAAGCAGAGGATACTGATATACTTTGCCTCCTTATTCATCATTTTACTGAGAATGACAATGAAATTGTGATGACGACCAGAAACGGCTCACACTCGATCAGTAAAATAGTAAATGCTCTTGATGCCAACATAAAACGCATATTACTGTTTGTTCACAGTTTCCCAGGATGTGACACGGTCAGCAGTATACATGGCTTTGGTAAGGTGAAGATATTGAAAAAGGCAGTTTCTTTTCATGAGGAGGGTCATTTAGCATCATTACTCACTGTGAGAGTTTCAACAAATGAAGTAATTGAAGCTGGCCTCTCCTAACTCCTTGTTTCAACATATCTATGGAGATAAAACCAAGGCACTTGAAACTCTCAGATTTCTCAGCTTACAGCTACAGTAGAATGATAGCAAAGAAAAAACTCAACCCATCAAGGCTACCACCGTCTACATCCTCTGCAACTGAGCATATATTAAGATCATATCTTCAGTACCATAACTGGGTGACACTCGACACTGCAAGTCTAAATCCACTACATTATGGATGGGAGATGAGTTCTGAAGGATACTACCGGCCAATCCCGACTAAAGCTGCGATTGCCCCGGCAGGGATGCTCAACCTCATTTGCTGCAATTGCTCGGTGGAGGTTGAGAACCCTTGTAAGTACTTAAGGTGTTCCTGACGGAAGTATGGCTTTAAATGTCTACCTGCATGTGGCCAATGTCATGGATTAAGTTGCACTAATGCACTCGAAAGACAGGACGATTCAGGAGAATCAAACAACTCTGAGGAAATGGGATAGCCAGAAGTGACCTAATAGTTGCCAATCAAAGACACCATGCTAATAATTCAGGACCTTTTTTTACAGAATTTGATGTGATATGTATATTATTTACTATACTAATATAAGGATCAATTGACAATTGAAAGTAAATTTTAGAATTTGAATACTGATAACTAGACAATGTTTTAATTGTACAACAATTTTGCTAAATTTCCAAATTTAAGTAAAATTTCAAAATTTTAGTAAATTTTTGAGAGGTTAGCCTATAAAAATGAAATTATCTCAATAAGTAAAGATCTGACGACCCTGAAACACTGATTCGCCCCACATAATGTCACTATTGCGGTCATTTTGCACCCCCTATGGTGCTCCTGGGGGTCTTTATTACGATAGTTACGAGTTTTTCAAGTGCGGTCCTCAGGCTGACATACGCGCCTGAAGAAAATTGGCTGTAACTTTTTTTGCTCAACAGATCCAGATTGGAAACTCTTTGGGGTGGTTCCTGACACTATGGACAACACATTCCTGTAAAAATCAGCTTGTTGCAAATTTTTTCCCAGATGGTCCTGTATTAATGTTAATTGTCCCTAACTAACTCTTCTAATCCCGAATTAGTTCCTCAACCAAAAGAAATACTAAAGACGCAGGATCTCAGTGTGAAACAAGAAGTAATGTTAGAGAATGGCTAGTAATTCCCACACCGTAGTACTATCGCCCGCTATCGAAGCAGCTGAAGTGGAACTGGATATATCACCTGAAGACGAGGCCACCATACCATTTGTGACACCCGTTCCATCTAACCAACATGTGGCCAGCCCGAAACCCAAGCCCCTCGTAAAAATACCGTCTTCTCCCGGTGCGAGAAGTACGCACTTGAAAACTCCGCTAGACACCAGGAAAAGTGCTCCAGTAACAATCAGGATTGGTAATGGAGCATCGCCAGCTTTAAGCAGCTCCCGCCATTCCCGACCTTCCTCTAGAAGGTTCTCTGGGGATATAGAACTAGAGAAGATGTCAGTTAATGTGTTGGAGGTGTTTGATACTGGCTCTAGGAGACCCTCCGCGCTTGATATTCTCAGTCACACTGGCTCTGAGGGGGCTGCAGGTCGGTAATGTCAGAATAGAACAAGTTCTTAGTTTTATCTATTTCTGTATGTGACTTACGTCTGTGGAATTTATTCACTATTTTACACTTACTGTCGTCGCTTTAGATATTCATTCCAGAGTTTATTTAGTTCATTTCGTAATGTTTTCACACTTCATTAGGAAGCAGTATGATCCTCACGTTTATCTTTAGACTGTCAGGTTATACCGAAAATCTAGAATTTAAAACCAAACGTCATTCATAATGTACGTAAGGTTTCAATCCTGACTTAGTAACTTGGTCACTTACATTTGATTAAATTTCAAGTGCTACCTACCCTTACATAACAGGCTGCTTCTTAGGGCTTCATTGAGACTGTAAATGTTTAAAAATCTCCGCCCTCCGAATAGTATTGTTCAGCTGCCAGTCATCAAGTTGACGTAAAACTTACAAATTGTCATGATTGATCATACGCCTCAAACAGCTTCATGATCAAATGATCAGTATCGTCACTAATTGTGACGACAATTGTGAAGGCGATCCCATTTAGGTAATCAGCTATTTTTGGTACAACGAGAGCGCACAGCCATGATGTCTTACGTTCTTAAACAATTGAGAACTATAAATAGTCGAGAATCTCGAAATTAATTGAATTAATTGATAAAAATACTTACATGTGGTAATTTCAGCGGCAGTAGAACGAGCCAAGGAGAGGAGGAACATTGTAATATGGATGCACAGAATAACTCAGATATTGTTATACATCTTGCCAACTCTCAGTAAGTCTCTGCTGAATACTTTAGTAGTTTTATTTTAATTATGTATTTTACCAAAACCCATAATCATGGGTAGAGTGGACCGCTGCCAGTGTCTCTCTTTCCCAAACAAAAGGAAATGATATTAATTTGATTGACCGTTCTCAAATGCAAAATGATACCGAGAATGAAATCGGTCGCTCGCTTTTCCCATTCATTCACGGCTTACGAATTGTAATAATTTTCGATTGATTACATGTCAATCAGATGCTGTAAAAATCTCTTTGGGTTGCGTTCGGGTCGATACCTAGTATTTCGGGGTAAGGGTGGTAGTTATCACTTATTGCATTAGCTGAAGTTTATTGAATCTTTATTGCCGAGTACAGCTGCCTTTGGGTAGTTCTTCTTAATCTATTACAATTGTAAATGAATGGGAAAAGCGAGCGACCGATTTCATTCTCGGTATCATTTTGCATTTGAGAACGGTCAATCAAATTAATATCATTTCCTTTTGTTTGGGAAAGAGAGACACTGGCAGCGGTCCACTCTACCCATGATTATGGGTTTTGGTAAAATATCATCTCTTTTTGATTATAATGTCAGGGTACTTTATAAAGTCGACATATAAACTGATATCTTCATTATAATAAGGAGGAAGTTTCAACGATTTCGAAATTTTTCCTTTAAAAACATTTCCTTGTGTTTAGGTAAGCATATCGGTCCATCACTGACTGAATATACCACTTAATACTCATTCAAGTTGACATTAAATTCATATATAATGGCATTAAACTGTCGTGGCAAAGCAGAATTTGTTGGAAATCACGAATGAGCAAAATTCTCACCTTTCGCACGTGCAAACTTTGAGCGGACGTTGCATGCGCATCCAATATTGAATCGCCGTGAATTTTTGCATGTAATTGTTTTATATATAGCTTGATAAGCATGCAAAGTTTCAAAGTATTTCAAGAAGAACTGTAATCACAACGGCACTCTAAAGTTGACAGAAAATGACGAAAACAGCAATTTTCAGTGATTTTAGCAATTTTCTATCAATTTGGGCGTGTCCCCACGTGTGCAACTTTTCGATTTTCAACTTTAAAACTAGCCTAATGCACAATTTATACCTATAGGAAGCAGAACTGAGCTCCACAACCCAAGGCATGGCCCAACACCAAAGAATACTAAATCGCAAAATTGACGTTTTTATAAAATAATTCGTCAAAAAAGCACAAACTTCAATGACAAATATCTTTATGAAGGAGCAAGCTAGAAAAACTTTCCGGTAGATTTTCAGAATGCTTGAACAATTATCTAAGGTGAAATTTTCCTCAGATTTTGAATAAAATTACTCCTTAATGGGTTAAAATTAATTTTAAAAGTTATTACTTTGTCAAAAATCAAGTTTTAAAAACGGTTAACTTGATGACGTCATCAAGGGGTGTTTATGACGTCAAATAAATTTTTTATACAATGTAAACTAAAGTGTAAACAATTATTTGCAAGACCTGTGGTCGGAAATGGCTGTATCTTTTATACTTTTGAATCTATGGACACTTAAATACAGGCTACAATTGACTGGCAAAGCGTCTATCCCTGAATATATATGTATATCTGTATGTATATCTGTATATGTCCCGACAATCTGTCGTAAAACAGGGGTTCTAGAAAACCCATTTCCCGATGCTCCTGAAACCTGAAACTTTTTTTGCAGTCAATTTGGTCAACGTCTAGACGCCCTGAAAAATTTCAGATCTCTAACTCAATTTTAACATGGTTTTTAGGGCACCTGAATATGGCGATTTTGGGTTTTTTACCGAATTTCGTATAACAGTGCTGGCGAGTATTTTATGCAAATTTCTTAAAAATCTGAACATAACTATTTTTTATTCCTGTCATCTTTGACATCAAATTAGAATGTTTTGAACTAAAAATAAATCTGCTGAACGACTTCCGATGAGTCTTAATGCCTGGAAAACTCCTGCCGGAGGCGGCGGCCTTCGGCCGCCGCCTCCGGCCGGAGTGCACGCTTCGCGTGCACAAAAGAGGCTTGTAACGTGTACCAAAGGGGGTATAATAGTAAAAGGGGTATAATAGTAAAGGGGGTATAATAGTAAAGGGGGTATAATAGTAAATGGGGAACATAGTATACCCACAATAAATGCAACGTTCGTGCTTGCCAGCACTGTGATATTGTTGTTCTAATTTATTATATGAATTTATTGATTAGAGTAATTAATCTATGTTATTTGCCTATTTCTTAATTTATTTTTCTGCTCAATGGCAAGCAAAGCTACCTCGTGCCAGGCGACTGGGTGTCCTTTATAATCAATCCTACATAATTCTATAAGTTGATAAATGATAATACGTAAGTATAATCGACTGCACAAAGTCACATACAGTGTACAATATACATACTACTGATTGAAGCAGTATGTATGTTCTTTGTGCATTTGTGCATGTACTATTCCTGTAGGAAACCTATCTATTAAAGTTCAAATAAACAAAGGAAAAACAATACAACATCTCGAAAATAAGTGACCCCGGCCCCTGTATAACGCGATTATTTTTCGATAAAATATGATCTTTCATCCGAAAAACCACGTTATAGAGGAGGAATATTGTATTGTAATTTCTAAATTGATTCATCAATATTTAATCATTACACATTGTTACATTACATAGATGTAGTTTTGTATTCCTCTTAATAATGTCTATCTCTCAGTTGTGCTGTGTCTAATATTATACTGGACTATCGAAGATGGAAAGTTAAAATGGCTGACCATGATGGCCGCAGTTTTAGGGATAGCGTGTGTGGTCGATTTTATTCTTTTCCAGTACTTCACAAACAGAGCGGAAGGTAAGACAAAAATTTATATTTTCCTCCGTTTTAATTTAGTTTTTGATTAAATGTAAAACTGTAAACATTTCTCAATTATCATTTTTAATTTTTAATGTTTTTAAGTTAATAAATTCAAGCTGGTCTTAACTGAAAATTTTATGGTGACTACTGTATCGCCCGTGGCCGTACTTTGTGTTAGAGCAACCGCGACCGCATGAACTTTTTCACTCACTTTAATTTTTCAATTTTTTACAGGAACAGATTTACTGAACACAGTTGCGATATTCAGAGCGCGATTACAGAAAAGTGGCAGGAGATTCTAAACATGCAATATATCATTGAAAGCTTTTACGAGAAATAACAAAAGTGGTCTTCTCCTAGAAAAGCTGATGATCATTGTGCTTTATATCAATATGCTATGCTCCAATAGGCGGGTTTTTATCATTGTCAATCCCGAACTTTAAAGAAAAAAGGCCCGAGATTGAGATATTTTGAGACTGAAAGTGAATTTTAAGGAGAAAACAAAGATATAGGACATTTTAGATAAGGCAGGGTATCTTGAAGTTGAAGTTGAATTGTGATCCAGAATCGGGGATAGACATTTTTTCGATCATTTAAAGAGAAATGGATCAACTGTTCGACGAAAAAGGAACTGACAAGATTGGTGCTATTTCTTCGATACTTTTTGTAAGAGTTCATATCTTTTTTAAACTTACAACTACTGCAAGCATGGCCAAGACGTTAGCCTTTTTATTGATGGTCGGAAGAGAAATTCATACAATATGATCACTGATTATGGGGTTATTCGACATTAAGATTTGAGAATCCAGCGGCAAGCCACACTTTAAAAAAATTGCTGACTGCTTTTATACGCATTATATATCAATTACATGGTTCATCTGGTTTAGCAACGAAATACTCTCACGAGAGCCGTTACAATATATTATCTAACCAACAGAATGCTGGCAATATCTGGTTTTCTTGTACTTGGTAATATATCAAATATATGGTGTTTCTCTATTCATTATCATCATCATGGCAGATCATTTGTTTGGTTTGAACTTTTGACAAATTCTTACAAATTTTTAGTTCTGACGAGGTGTGTTATTATGTTTATTTTTTCAATTTTGAGGAATTTTTCAATTTTGAGGAATGATTATGTATCAAAGTTGTTTTGTAATGGTCAGCTTCAAATTCTATTTTGCTGAAGTTATGATGGAGTTTTGATTTCTTCTTTTAGAATTTATGGCATAACTAGTGTAACCCGGCCTTCTGCCGGGATTTCACTGCCGCAGTTAAAAAGGGTAGGAGTAATTACCCGCTGAGTCAAAACCCGCATTAGGTGAGCAATTCTATTCGTAGTTCCCTCGCGTATCCAATAGTATCTGTATCACGACTATTACACCTCATCACTCCCGTCTTAAACCGCTTCAAATCTATTTAGAAATTAACCCTTATTTACTCCGCACCACACCCGCCTTATATTTGAAAACATGCATAACATTGTCGTATGAAAGTAAACAAACAGACCGCAATGAGTGCCCCCCCCCCCCCCCCCTAATAAGCTTATTATAGTATAACACGCATAAACATTTTCGTATGAAAGTATGAACTCTCTCTACAGATTAAACAGACCGCAATCAGTGCCCTACACTCCTAATATCACTTGCGGAGCTAACCTAATTACCAGCGATACAATCTACAGTGCAGTAATGGAAGAGAGAGCGAATAGGAAGGAAAATTGAGCCATTTTAGTGGCTCACTCCATAATGTTGCATTAATAGTACAAAACTATTGAAATTAAGCCACTTACCGCCAGCCGATTTATAAAAAATTAGCATACGGGCTTAGTCAGAGTTTTGTCGACACTATACCGAAAAAACCAGTCCTGTTACTCTTACCGTTTTTTCAATATAACCGACCAGAAATTACACACGCACGCACACACACACACACACACACACACACACACACACACACACACACACACACACACACACACACACACACACACACACACACACACACACACACACACACACACACACACACACACACACACACACACACACACACACACACACACACACACACACACACACACACACACACACACACACACACACACACACACACACACACACACACACACACACACACACACACACACACACACACACACACACACACACACACACACACAAAGTTAACGTAACATGCACCACAAAATTTTTGCCAAAAGTGAAAAACTCATTTACGTCATCCTTAATAAGCAAAACTCTTCTGAACCCTCACCCTGATGTTTTAGTGAGATATAATAAATCCCCTCCCTACCATGACTCATGCCTATACTTTTCGAGACCATTTTCCATTCCATTTACGACAAATTTAGTCTACCCCGTCTGAGCATTACAGAGTAGGTAAGCTGCAATGCATTACTCAGGAATTTCAATAACATCAGATCCAGAGTTTGTGACTCTGTATCACTAAGTTCTTCAGTGCACTCTTCAGTTTCTTTTTCACCTTCTTTCGACTTTACCATTTCTGTCGGTATGATCCTTCAGCCGTTTCAACAGAGCATGCATTGGGATGGATCGGATTAAAAATGTAATGTCCAAGAGGAGCTCTAACCCTCTAAGCGCAATAGGACTTTGGTACGGTTTTGTGCAGTAGGAACGGTGATGTCATTATATTAAATATAAAACCCTATAAGTATAAACAATGTAAGCTTAATAATATTCAATATTCATGTCATGTATGCTCTAGTAAAATTTTGGTCTCCTTTAAAATTAGTCGCCGAAAAATTTAGTCTCATGAAATTTGGTTTACAACAATTTAGTCAAAAGTTTGACTAAATTTATGGCAGACTAAATTTGTCGTTCTTAAGGTAGTACTGTGCGGAAAGAAACCATGTGATCTGACAGAGACTTCAAAGTCCGTATTACTGTAAATCAGAGTTTTAGCGAACCATGATTAATATCAATGTCACTATACTTAAGAGATACTATTCTAATAAGATTTAGATTACTCCCCAAATACTAATTTAACTTTTGAAGATAAATTTGATTACGCTACTGTAATTTTGACACAATCGCTATGTGTAAAACTGATAACGGGGGGGGGGGGGGGGGGGGGGGGGATTTTCCAAAAAGTGATTACGTAATATGTGAACGATCCCATTTTCATTGCATCAAAGTTTTTTCCGGAATCCGCATATACTGCTTCCAGTACCTTGATGGTGACTTGTCATGTGTCACTCTCACCGACCTCACTGATTGGTCATATTGATATAGTCACTGGTCAAAATTTCTGTCAAAACCGAAAAATTTCGGTCAAGGTGAGGGCAGAAAAGCTTTTCTTCAAAAATCTTCAAAAATCTCTTTTTGTATTCTGATGATTTTCTGTTTATCAAAGCTTTCTTTGGGAATAAAACTTTGAGTACTTCAATGGTGTCTTCTGCCATCCTCAGTGACTTTGTAAGATGTTCATTTAAGTCAAAATTTCGGTCAAGGATACGCGACGCCCTGCGGTCTGCACTGCATGGCGCACTGACTTAAATTAAATATAAAACACAATTCTGCCTCACGCAAATTATGGAGAAGCAATCCTAGTTTCTCGTCGTCATGGAAAAGTTTGACGATTGAAATTGAAGTAATCGAAATTAATGATAATATTTCTTCGCTCTTTTTTAATACGAAATTAAATTGGTATTTTTCAATCCTATGAACTGGTTTTTATTTTGGAATGATATCTATAATTATATTATACAGGGGAGAGGGGGGGGGGGCAAAAGTCAGTACCCATACGTTGGCCTTATAATAGCTCCAGTGCCCGATAGAAATAATTCTATCTCATTCTGGTAGTGGTATGACACATGACTTACTCGAAAAATATTCGTGTCCATTTTTTTCAAATGAAGGTTCATTTTCGCATTCATTTGATAGTACTTTGGATAGTCAGATCGAGCCAAATTTAATTGAATGGTGTTTGGCCATTTAAATTACGTTTGTCCTGAACAAAATGAGAGTTCTAGCTTCTCAGATGTGAGATGACCGAGATATGATTATGAAGCATAATGAGTTTGTTCATTACGTGTGATCCAGATCAGGTGATTGGGCTGAGAGGCTAGATCCGCATTATGGGAATCGTGCAGAGAGCCCAATTACGGTGTCGTAATTGGGTAATCATTGAGTAGCCAATCAATTTTGCTAACGAGATAAACATATTGTTTGATAACTTCGTAATTTTATATTCGTCTCGCACCATCTTTTCAGATTATATTCCGGATTAAATGACCTATGGCTATATTGCAATATGTTACAACGGAGTCTCTAACATGTTCACAAACTCCAGTATAATCAGTTCAATGTTGATCGGGTGTGGCCCCCAAAAATTGAATTTTCAAATTTTGGTGACGGAATTCTCGAACAAGTAGGTACAGTATGCCATCTTATCTGCAAAGCAACAACTCTCAAATGTAAAACACGGCGGTGGTATAACCCGTATAAGACCCAACGTTTGGGTACTGACTTTTGCCCCCCCCCCCCCCGGAAACTTCGCCATTTTTAGCAGGGTTGTAATAAGGATAGGAATAAAGTATAGCATTTTTAGAATTTTTATTAAGGCTTTAGTTTATTTTACCTCACTTCCGACGTTAATTTAAGGGGTCGTTCACACATTACGTAATCATTTTTTGGAACATTTTTACCCCCCCCCCCCTCCGTAATCAGTTTTACACATAGCTATTGTGTCAAAAGTACACTAGCGTAATCATATGTGAACGACCCCTTAAATTAACGTCGGAAGTGAGGTAAAATAAACGTTATAATCGATCTTAAAATTTATTCCGCTTTTAGTTTTATTCCCACTCTCGATTCCTTTCTAGCAGTCCGGTTAATTTAGTACCTTTAGTGGGTCTCATTTAATCATTAGCTCTAATTAAAGAACCTCTCACCCTCTCAGATTTTCACCGCTCCGTTCATTTGTATAGCTTTATTATTTTTATCTTTTTACTACACTTACTAACACGTGCACATTACAAAGGAGCAATAGTTTGCGGAGGCATTCTAGAACGGTATATATTTTAGCTTTCAGTTTCTGTTTCATTATCTTAAAATTTATTCCGCTTTTAGTTTTATTCCCACTCTCGATTCCTTGCTAGCAGTCCGGTTAATTTAGTACCTTTAGTGGGTCTCATTTAATCATTAGCTCTAATTAAAGAACCTCTCACCCTCTCAGATTTTCACCGCTCCGTTCATTTGTATAGCTTTATTATTTTTATCTTTTTACTACACTTACTAACACGTGCACATTACAAAGGAGCAATAGTTTGCGGAGGCATTCTAGAACGGTATATATTTTAGCTTTCAGTTTCTGTTTCATTATCTTAAAATTTATTCCGCTTTTAGTTTTATTCCCACTCTCGATTCCTTGCTAGCAGTCCGGTTAATTTAGTACCTTTAGTGGGTCTCATTTAATCATTAGCTCTAATTAAAGAACCTCTCACCCTCTCAGATTTTCACCGCTCCGTTCATTTGTATAGCTTTATTATTTTTATCTTTTTACTACACTTACTAACACGTGCACATTACAAAGGAGCAATAGTTTGCGGAGGCATTCTAGAACGGTATATATTTTAGCTTTCAGTTTCTGTTTCATTATCTTAAAATTTATTCCGCTTTTAGTTTTATTCCCACTCTCGATTCCTTGCTAGCAGTCCGGTTAATTTAGTACCTTTAGTGGGTCTCATTTAATCATTAGCTCTAATTAAAGAACCTCTCACCCTCTCAGATTTTCACCGCTCCGTTCATTTGTATAGCTTTATTATTTTTATCTTTTTACTACACTTACTAACACGTGCACATTACAAAGGAGCAATAGTTTGCGGAGGCATTCTAGAACGGTATATATTTTAGCTTTCAGTTTCTGTTTCATTATCTTAAAATTTATTCCGCTTTTAGTTTTATTCCCACTCTCGATTCCTTGCTAGCAGTCCGGTTAATTTAGTACCTTTAGTGGGTCTCATTTAATCATTAGCTCTAATTAAAGAACCTCTCACCCTCTCAGATTTTCACCGCTCCGTTCATTTGTATAGCTTTATTATTTTTATCTTTTTACTACACTTACTAACACGTGCACATTACAAAGGAGCAATAGTTTGCGGAGGCATTCTAGAACGGTATATATTTTAGCTTTCAGTTTCTGTTTCATTAT